GAATTCAGCTACGCTATTCACGTAGCTGAATTTGCGTATCTTAAATCGACTCCCCCCTGTAGTGTAGATGTACCCTAAGTTACCCTTCCTGCAAATGCTGTTCTGGTCTCTGTTTCGGGTATGTGCCAACCCTAGTTGGTTTCACAATACCCTTAAGAAATAGCATTCAGTCTCATTATCAGATTGAATTCCAAAAATTGGAAAGAGGACGTTAAACAACCCCTCCCCAACAAACCGTATATATTTAAATGATTTCCAGCTACTTCCATCTCATGCAAGTGGTTCTGGCTTAAAATTAACTGTCTGCTCCTGGGTTAATTAGCTTCCATTTCTTTAAACTCGTTGAGGAGAATAAGGCATCATAAAAGAAAACACATGTGTTTTTAAATAGAGAGAGGGGGATATGTTTTCAGAACCAGACAGGAGAAGGAATTCCCAATTAGTGTTTTTTTTTAAATTACATTAAACGGAATGTTGGATAAAACTGTGCTGAGCTTTCTGCAGAAATTTCAGAGACATCCATCCTCTGCTATCCGTTTTCACAAGCTTTTATAGCAAATCCCCCTTTTAAATTAAGCATTTCATTTGTGTGTGTCCCTCCAAGCCCACCCCACAGCATGCTGACTGTTGGGAATTAAGAGCATCAGATGGAAGCCAAGGTTGAAGCATTAAGTAATGTCTGCACGTTTGCTGAGTTATTTGCCAGAGGCTTTCTCCCACTGAGGTACACATGACTTTAGTCAATTTAATCACGTTGCAACTCTTGTCTTTTTTTTTCTTTTTAAATGGTAGCAAGCCATCCAGTGGCTGGTAATAATATATTAAAGTAAAAAGCATTAATGAAAAATGTAATGATGTCAAAACACAATAAAATTCTACGTGATTGGCTCCTTGAGATGACTCTTTTTTAAGGTGGATGAGTGGATTACTTTGGTACATCCAGTCTGCAGAATTAGTTTCAAGTCTTATTAGGTATGCTTTGGAATCCACCACATCGTAGCAACTCATTAAGTTCCAGTACTCAGAGCTGCTCGTTCGTGATTTACATAGAAATAGCTGTAATACCCTAAGCAGCAGCACCAATTCATTAACTCTTCTGCTGCATCTTGTTTGCGTAAAAGTCTCTGCATGTCTGGCAGCAGCGTTGATACCATCTCATGTCTTGGCACAGGTTCTTCTCACGGATCACCCTGCAGTACACTGTCCACTGGTCCCCTGTACACTTATATGTGAGAGCAGCTTCGGACAGAAATAGAAAGAAGAAGCCAGCATGTTAGAGGAGAGCATCCCATGTGTGACCAAAATACCCCGAGCACCGGATGAGGGAGAGATGGCTAATCTAGTCAACACTGGGATTTGGGTGGCATGCGTTATGCTCGAAGTAGGGTTGCTGCCGAAAAGATCAGGGCAACAGGTCGGTAGTGACTTGTCTGACAAACGCAATGGAAAGAACTATCATGAAGAATGTTGCAAGGCTGGGCAAGCAACAGATGGGCATATGCTTGAAGGCCCTGAGGAATTCTCACACTGGATCAGATCATCTGTTAGTGTCCTATTTCTGGCCCTGATTCAACAAAGTGCACACAGCACATGCTTAACTTTAAGCAGGTGAGTAGTCCCTAGGATGTCAATGGGGCTACACACATGTGTAAAGTGAGGTATTTGCTGAATGGGGCCCTTTTGACAGTGCCCAGTACTAGATACTGCAGCAAAAGGGGAAAGAAACCCTGTAATGGAAAAATCATGAAGCAACCTGCCCAGTGTGGTTAGAACATCCTGGGCAGAGGGGGAAAAGACCAATCCAAAATCAACGTGGGGAGGGATAGCTCAGTGGTTTGCGCATTGGCCTGCTAAACCCAGGGTTGTGAGCTCAATCCTTGAGGGGGCCGCTTAGGGATCTGGGGCAAAATCAGTACTTGGTCCTGCTAGTGAAGGCAGGGGGCTGGACTTGATGACCTTTTGGGGTCCCTTCCAGCTCTATGAGATAGGTATATCTCCATATTAACAAGCCAGACTCATAGAAAGTGCAAAATGGGACACTGGAGTCACTCGCAGTCATGACCCGCAATTATGGGTGGGTGCAGCTTCCCTTTTTAGGATAAATATTGCAATATTCTACAGTCATGGAGTAATATTTTCAAAAGTGCCCAAGGCCCAGATCCTCAAAGGTACTGAGGCCCCTAATTTCCACTGACATCAATGGGAGTTAGATACCTAAATACCATTGAAGAGTTGGGTTTTAGTGGTTTGGGGGGTTTCAAACGTGACATAGACACTTAGGAGCTGTAATCTCATTCAAAAGCAATGAGGCGTGGGCTCCTGAATGCCTGAGTCACTTTTGAAAATGGGACTCAAGTTCCTAAGTCACTTCGGGTCTGTCTACACGGCAATTAAACACCCTCAGCTGACATGGGCCAACCAGGGGTGTTTAATTGGCACATGAGGCTTGGCTACCAGGCTGTTGATATAGGCGTCTGGACTCAACGGCTTTGGTCCCTGTGAGCGGGGAGGGGCCCGGAGCCCAGGCTCCCGCCTAAGCATGAACGCCTACACTGCAATTAAACAGCCCCATTATTTATTATTTGTATTACTGTAGCTCCTAGGAGTCTCGGTCCCGGACCAGGACCCCACAGTGCTAGGTGCTATACAAACCCAGAACAAAAAGACAGTCCCTGCCCCGAGGTGCTTACAATCTAATTCTGGATGGTTTCTGTAGCGTACTGGAGTATTTTTCTAAATAATATATTAAATAGAGATATCCTATCTCCTAGAACTGGAAGGGACCCTGAAAGGTCATTGAGTCCAGCCCTCTGCCTTCACTAGCAGGACCAAGTACTGATTTTGCCCCAGATTCCTAAGTGGCCAGGCTTTTCCATTTCAATTCATTTCCCCAATCTTATTAACCAAGCAAAATGCAACCCAAGTCACTAACATTCTCTGCTTATCCCATTTTACCCATCATGGGACAAGGTGTTTGAAGCGTGGAATGATGACTGAGTGCGGGTGAATGCCCTCACCCAAAACTCCCAACCCCCTTCTCTCTGACCCGCGGATATGCCTGCCTGCTCCAACTGATCACTCAGGGAACATGGCTCGAGGAATTCTGGCTTGGTAGAGGTCTCAGGCAGAGTGGATCTATGAAGAATAAAGCATCTCTTTACTCTGGAACATTAATTACCCAGAGATTCTGATGGTCGCCATGCTTCTGTCTCTGATGAGCCATCGGGAACCTCGTTTCTGTAACATTCAGCATAAGGACTGTGTTTCCCAGATACCTGGGCAGGATATATGCTCTGGTGTTTGATGGCTTCAGGCTGATTATTTAACCTCCCCAAGAATTGTAGCTCTGCATCCACCCACTCACCGAGTCTGGGCGAGGTAATTGTGTTGACATTTATCTTCTCATTGCAGACCTCTTGGTGACACTGCCTGTAGGCTGCTGGCTTGGATAGGACAGGGCACTCGTTGCCATGGCGGCCGGTGACTTTGTGCATACACTGCACCACACGTGACTGGAGGCCCTTCCCGCAGGTTGAGGAGCACTGGAGAAGAGAGGGACATCTTAGTGCAGTGGTTCTCAACCTATTTACCACTGTGGGTCGCACATGCAGCTGTGTATGTGTTGTGTTGGCCACATCCACGCAATATAGATACTACCTGTAGGGCCCTGAGGATGTCACATGGGTTGCTGCTGTGTGTGGATTAGGCCGCAGGTTGAGAACCACTGCCTTAGTGAGTCACAGGCCAGCCCCTGTGGCTTGGAAAGACATACCGACCACAAAATCGAAGACTGGAGCAAAGGGCACAGTGAACCTGCAGCAAAATTCTGCATGAGAGACTCAACAACCGCTGGTGTAATGTCCTTCAGCTACCGTATTTGCCCCTGCTGAGTCTCCAGGCTGGATCATACCCACTAGACCTATGTGCAAAGAGAAGCATCTGGCTATGTGGTAAGGTGGAAGGCAGCTGCCTTTGTGGCACCCTTCCTCCCCCCCTACTTCCTCCTTGTGTCTCTCTGGGTCCATCTGCAAAGCCCATGGAGCAAGCCTCCCATCCCGAGTCAACAGACTTGGGGTAGTGGCACTGGGTGCTCTAAAATAATGGTGTCGACAGTGCTTTGAAGTTGCAGCTCAGGCTCTGAAGCCTGGCTGGCGGGGTGGGCTTCAGCACCTGAGCTTCCAGCCTGAGCTGCAACTTCGAAGTGCTGTCCCAGGCGGCTATGTATAGAGTGCTATAGCAAGCACCACTCCCCTGATTTTGTTGACCCGGGCTGGGAGACTCACTTCGGTGGGCTGTGTAGACGTACCTTCTGAGGCTGTGTAGACGTACCTTCTGAGGGTACGCGCCTCCCAGCCTGGGCAGACCAGCTCGCACTAGCTTGTTAAAAACAGCAGCGTGGATGTTGCGTCTCCGGTGGAGGCTCAGGTCAGCCACCCGAACTCAGACCCAGGGGCTCGGGTGGGAACGAGAGACCGAACTGGCACCTGAGCCACAATGTCTGCACTACCTCGAGTGGAGATAGCATGAGTCTGTCTACCTGGGCAGGGAGGCTTGCTCCTAACTGTAGTGTAGACATAGCCTAACCTTTTGGAATCTGGGTGAAAGGGCAGGCGGGGAGGGGCAGAAAGGGGACGTAGTTCACCTCACCAGCCACTCAAGGGCATACATGGAAAACGTATATTGCCCGAGGCTGCATTAGCTTCTCCATTGCATGGAATCCCACTTCACTTTCCATGAGGCATCCCAAGAGACCCAGTGGCTCCAATGGAACCCCACTGGCTGAGTTCCTAAGGGTGACCTCTCCACAACACTGACAGTCTATCAAAGTTCCTGCACTGGAGATCATGCTCTCGCAGGTGGTATGGCGGTATAAAACAAGAGAGGTGGGCAACTCAAGTACTCAAAGGTCAGTCCCTTTCCTCCCACATACAAAGACTACAGGGGAAACAGAGAAGGCGGCGTTTCAATATACAGGAGGAAACATCAGGTATCCAAGTATTCAGCCGCCTCTATTCCTGCAAGTCCCTTTGGCTCTCGCCCGGCTTCCAGGGGGGCAATTGGAAATTGCTCTCCATTAGCTTGGCTTTTATTTGCCAGGAGGCCAGGCCTGTTTATGCGCTTTCTTTGTTGTCATACAATTGGAGTCCCCCCGCCCCCTCCTGCCCCACACTCATGATTTACGATGCCCTACTTGCAAGCTGCTCAACCTTAATAAAGTGAACGCGGCAAGCAGAGTGCAGCGCCCCAGCTGGAGTTAATAAAAGAACCTTGTATTGAAAATAAAGAAACAATGGGTTGCAAGACTTTGGCAGGGTGCCTACGCCTGCTAGTGCCACACACAAACAAAACGGAGGAGGGAGGCATCCGAGATGATGTTGGGCTGATATGGCAAAGAGTGTATTGAGGTGGTGGAATCTCCTTCCTTAGAGATTTTTAAGGTCAGGCTTGACAAAGCCCTGGCTGGGATGATTTAGTTGGGAATTGGTCCTGCTTTGAGCAGGGGGTTGGACTAGATGACCTCCTGAGGTCCCTTCCAACCCTGATATTCTAGGATTCCCCTCTGGCTTTCCTGAGCACTGTTGGGGTAGCATAGCTATCCCTGGCCAAGCACCGCCAGTCTCAGGGTGATAATCTTTACTGATTAAACCCAACATTTAAAAGCAAAAGGATACACTTCAGGTGGGATGAAGATGGATAGAGAGAGAGATTGGCTGGCAGATAAGATGGAAGTACCATCAAAAACCAAACCGTTGCTTTAAGCCACAACCTAGAATAGGGGCAGTGCTGTGGTGCATTGGCCAGTGGGAGCTCCTGAAGGCATCATGCATGATACCCTATTGCTGTGGTATGCCACTGCTACACCTTGGAAAGGGTACACTACTGGTTCCCCAGCTCTTCTGCCTGCTGCAGAAGAGCAGAGCCAAGCCACAGGCTTCTTGCCCTCCCTGTGTTGCTAGAAACCTCAGGTGCTTCTGCTCAGTGAATACACAGCAAAAAGAGCGTGGCTTGGTCCCCGCATAGGAGTGCAAAGAGGTTTTGGAGGGAAGCCTCCTTGCAGTCTTTCCCTTCCTTGCTGACCAATGAAGGGCTAGATGCCACCTCGCTTCAAATTATTAGAACCATGGAAAATAGGGATGGTGAAACAGTTCTTCTAAATTGCTCTGCACTCAGGTATCACAGTGATGTAAAGTCCTTATCTTTATTTCCAGGAAAGAGTAGGTCTGGGGTAGGTCTTTCCCCAGCATCCTCTGTGATGAAGACTATGAAGAATCATTTAGATTCGTAGCAATGTCCTTATATTCTTTAATTGGTCCCGGTGGTGGCCCAGCGGAAGCACTGCTTCTCATAGAGGTTTCCTGCTTCTGATATAATCACAGAATTCCTTGTTACTTGTTTTTACGCCATTAGTTACATTTGCTCTTCAAATTCCATATTAGCCTTCTCACTTCCTCCTAATGTACTGCCTGCCATATTTCACACTCCTATTTACTGACTTCACTAGGGCTGGATTTTCTGAAGGATCTCTGTTTGGCTTGAATAACCTCTTGGCCTTTACTATTTAGCCCCATTGGTTTATTCTTTGCCTTCCTGGTCCCTTTGTGTTCTGAGGAATGCATGCCTTCTGAGACTCTATTATTGCTTCCTGAAAGTAGCATCCATGCCACAGGTAAGGGTTTTAAACAGATGGATGAAGACGGATGGGGGAGTACAAGGAAACAGTGAGAAAATATAATATGGCCACTATTTCTTGTTGGCGCCACCATAGTTACTTTTTGTACCATCTCCTGCATGTTACTTAGGACTAAGTGAAAAATAGCCCCTCCCAGCCTTGGTTGTTTCAAGAAGGAACCATTTAAGGTGTCAGACTGTGGCCCACTGTAACATTTGACCAGTTTATATGCAGGGAGCTGGTGTCTCAAATGGCAAAGGTTTCATTAAATTTGGTTGCCATTTTGATCTCTCCCAACGTTTTCATCACATTCTCCTGATGTGGAGGCTGGTAGTATAACGTTACTGGCTTATTTGCATTCGTAGAGCTTGGAGAATTAAAATCCAGTACAGATTCACCTGGATGGTCCTTTCCATTCATCCAATGAAATACAAGAATAATCAATAGGACATGGGTAGCAACTGTAATCTTCAAGGTGCTTTACAAACATTAAAATTAATTCTCACAACACTCCTGCGAGGTAAGTGAATAATATACCTCCCTTGGACAGATGGAGAGGCTGAGATACATAAAGATTAAAATGACATATCCAAAGCCACGGAGTTCTGTGTCAGGAGAAGAACATGGCAGCTCCATGGCTCTCAGTCCTGCGTCTCTCTCTGTGAGAGTCTTTTTTTTTTTTGCTTGCTATGTTTTTTAATATTCCTACACAAAATGGATTTTTCAGATAAAGTGTGTTAATATTTTCAGTCACTGAGTTACAAATGTTCACGAGTGTGTGTGTGTTTCTGTCTGAATCTGTTAGCCAGCAAGGAAGGCAGGCCATGAAACTTTTTCCACAGACATTGCCAACTCCACTCCTTAGACAAATAACAGCAGAGTTTTTGCCCTAAGCAGTTTGATTCCTACTCCTGGGAGACTGGGATCATCACCTATGCTATGCAATTAGTCTTTCACAGCCAGGAAGACAGATTTTAACATCTTTCTTGAACTCTTCGGGCTTGGCAGTTAAAGTAGGGTTGGACATCTGGCTTATTTTAAGAAGAAATTTTCAACTCTATACTTGGATAGTCTCTTTACAAAGGAATTTCAATCGGAAATAGGAATAGATACAAATGACATAAAGGGGGGGATTGGTTACTCTGCTGTACTGCATTCAGAAGAGATGACATTGTTAAAAATAGCAGAGAAATCAAACTCGAAGTGAAACTTCCCATAACTACTCCTGGCTCCCCTTCTGCTTCTGGGTAAGTATACCCATTGCCACAGCACCTCTGCTCCCTCTCCTATGCTGGGGAAGCACGTAAGTATACACATGGCTGGAGCAATTCTGTGGGCCAGACTCACTGCAGGTTCTGCCAGCACAGACCCTGGTACAGGGCCCCCAGAGAGGTAAAGTCTATGCTGGGCACGGCAAGTTCCAGTGGAGGAAGGTGGCTGCAACCTCCTCTCCAATGGGAGAGTCACAGGCAGCCAATGCAGCAAAACTCGCTCCAGAGAGGGGTGTGGCCTGAGCTGCTGGGGGTGTATGGAGTCAGCTCTTCCTCTAATGCAGCTTCACCTGGTGCAGCTCCATTGTGCATGCTGCTTCCCCATCATACCAGAGTAGAGCAGCAGTGGAAAGTCTGTCTGCCCTGCTCCAGGGATGAAAGCCCTGTGGGATGCAGAATCCCTACTCCAGGCACTGAGGCCAGATGTGACAAATTGTGCTTAGTATATTTAAAATATTTGTCAGCAAACACTGGACTGGATTTTTTTGGTAGGCATCAGACCATTACATTATTATCAGTAAAACAGTTTGCACCTGTAGGGCATCTTCTTGAGGATCGAAGGGCTTTACAAGCACTGATTAATCCTCACAAGATGCCCAGG